TGTGGACTCTTTCAACATACTATTTATGATATGTATGTTGCACAGCGTGTCAGTGCTTGAAAGTTATTAATTGTAGGATTTTGTTATAGGTTTATATAATAGAGATTTATTTAGTTAAATAACATTTTGCACAACATGCAATGTATATACATCTCTATATGTACAGCGGTTTGAATGTTTCTTGTATCTGGATGTGCTCAAAGGAATAGATTTTGGTGTAGTTTACATTAGATAGATCAAATAGATTTTGATGTAGTTTGTACTTTTCTAGTTTGAATATTGAGAATTTAACAGATTATTTAGATCATTTTCAGTTGACAAGTTAAAAGTAGTTACGCTATACATCTGTTGTTTAACAGACTCATGCCTCCTGGTGTAGATTTTGGAGACTCGGCACGCAGAGCAATAACTTCTAGTAAATTCTAGAAAATTGTAAGTAGTGGATGCGTGTTGTTTAAAGTACTCCCTTCTATCTTATTTTCATTTTTTCAAAATGGAAGCAGCCATAAGCACACTTTATTACTCGAGTGCTTTTTAACTTTCAGCTATACTTTTTTTCTGATCCTTTAAACGTTTTAAAGTTTAGAAATAGGCTCATGTTTGTGCACTTATTGAAGATACTGTTTTTATTGTGAGGCTCTTTACCAGCTACTACTCCTTGTCTTTACTACTGCTGGGGTTTTCAATACTAGTCATGGAGAGGCTTGGTGTATCTACTTAAGCTACTGCCTGCCTTAAGTGGATGTAGGTGTTGCTGCTTCAAAGAGACCTTGAAAACCTGCCGATACACTGGCCCTCTAGGCCCAGAATTGGACACCCCTGATTTACAGCACACTTCTTTTTCATGTTTGTGAAACCAAATGCCAGTCAATCTTTAGTTAGTGGACAAACCAAATGGAAATGCCAATGTTATAGAATATCTAAGAAGTAATTGGATTCAGATCTGATGACTGATAAATGCCTTGACATAGGAAGAACAACTGTGTCACGCTAATCAAACCTCTGGTTTGCATTGTGGATAGGGGGAATGGTCATCTCACAAGGCATCCCTTTTGGCGATAAAGAAATGCTGCAACATGGGCTGAAGATGATCATTGACTATCAATATATTGCAGTTACCACTGACCTGGTCTTCTAAGAGAATGAATGGTCCCAAACATGTAAGAAAATTTCACCACACAAAATTATAGAACCACCAAAACCCTTGTCTGTTGGAACAGTTCTCAGGATTGCTGTTTTGATTGAGTACTTTAGACTGGCATCACACATGCACTCATCCAATTGTTGAGGACATAATGAAGAATGATTCACCTGACCATATAACATTTGTTCACCACTCTGTAGCCCATTGCCCGATATCTTTGCACCGACAAGCAAGCATTGCTAAGTGTGATGAACAGTTTGTGAACTGCAGCTTGACTACAGTATCCTGCTCTGCGGTGTTCCCTGCAGACCATTGAGGAATTGAATATTACAGCCACTCGGCTGTAAAACGAGCCTGAAGACAAGTAGCTGTGCTCCTGCACAGGCTGCTGTATTGCAGAACCAGCTACTGACCTACCATTCAAGCCACAGGGCTGAAGATACAGGTTACAGCATTAAGGTCCTAATAATGCATTGGTGCTGTAATAACTCTACAGGTCACCAGACTACCATACTTGCTGCCTGGAACAGAATACTTATCCACTGCTTTTGGTATGTCTGAACTAAAGCCCGCAATGCGTTGTGTTGGAGTGTGTCTTTGGTCAGGACCAGCTCGAACCTGTGTCCCTGCTGTGAGCCACTTCATTAAAGTCATTAAAGCTAGGCAGATGGCCTTAATTCAAGTCAATTCAATTTATTTATATATAGCACATTTCACAACAAGGTTGCCCCAAGGTGCTTAACAATACAATTGACGATACTTTTTGTCAATACAGAACAGAAGACCGGAAGACAAGGAGGAGGAGAGGAACCAAAAGCTCCTTAGTAAGGAGAGAAAAAACCTCTAGGGGTCCAAGGTCAACTGCTTGCCCAACCCCTTTGGGCATGCTAACATTATATAATTTAAAAAAGTAAACAATGAGGGTATTAATCCATCCATCACGTCTTCTGTATGTTAGCACTCCATGCAGATCTCTGTAGACCAGTAAATTCCTCCTAAACGATGGCTATATCCACGATGTCCCTCTTGGATCCATGGCAGTGATGCGGCATCCAACTCAGATGGTACCCAGCCCGGGCACCATCTTGACATGTGGGGAGGAGAATAGGATAGTTTGGTCAGAACAGATGTATTTACCTGGTTGGCCAACATAGAGATACACAATGGCATGTACAGCAGCACCAGCAGCCATGGTTGCAGCAGGCTATATGTAATGTTCAAATTGATTTCAGGTTACCTTTGCAAACAAAGTTTTGCTTCATGATTTCAGTTAAATCTGCCTAGTCATGAGTTAATTAAGCCGTTACTCCTAACTGGGAAGGCAGCAGTACTATTGATGAGAGTGTGTTATCTTACATTTTTTTTAATTCGTAAAGACTGCATTAAAACATTTATGGTAATTACAGAAGTTAACTACATGTAAAGAGAAACCATGTTGAGGTTGTTAATGTACTAAGGAGCAATTGAATATATACATAACCTAAATGTATATATCGGATGTGGCATGGATGCAGCATAATTTAAATTCAGTACACGGGTTCTAATTTTAGTTGTGCTCCAATGTGAGGATATTAGAAAAGGTAGATAATACATTGAAAAAATGAACTTCTTCTTTACCATATCCCTTCTGTACTTTTCCAAATTTAATTTATTCAATAGCACTGAACATTCTTGGAAATGTCTCTCCTCAAGAAGTGGCAATTATGGTTGTCCTTTAAATGAAGTATTATCTTGTCACCACAGCCAATGTTGTATTCTTACTTTCCATTATGGAATTAACCTTAAGTATTCCTTTGCAGTTCCCCACTCCGATCTCTTTAAAATAATTTTGTTAAGGGGGCAGTTTGATAGAGGTGTCTCCTTTTTATGAAGTATGTCATCTGCATAAGTATGTCATCTGCATTCCAGAAGCAGCTCTACTGCCCAATCCTTAATTTTGTTAATCATTCAACAGTGGAGGAAATTGTTAATATTCCATGATGATTACATAATTTAAGATGTATCAGGGTGAAAGCAATCTTGGTAGCTAAGGAACAAGTAAAGGTTTTTTCTATACTGAAAAGAGAAGAAAAACATTTTGAGCTGTGGAGTATCAATATATGAAACATTTCTTCTGTTTTCAGTGTGGGATAAACCTTTCCTTGTTCCTTTGCAGCCTACACATGCAGATGCAGCTACCTACTTTAACTATCTTGGTAGCTGTTTCTTTAGATGAAAATAAATAATAATTGCTTACACTTATATAGGTAATGGGGGACTCTCCTCCACCATCACCAATGTGCAGCCATAGTACGCCAGAATGCTCACACACTAGCTCTCAGTTGGGAGGAAAATGGAGTGATGAAGGAAGATCATGGATGGGGATTATCAGGAGACCATGATTGGTAAAGGCAATGGGAGGTTTGGCCAGGATGCCGGGGTTACACCACTACTCTGTTCGAGAAATGCACCAGGATTTTTAATGAGCACAGAGAGTCAGGACCACAGTTTTATGTCTCATCCGAAGGCAGTGCCTTTTTACAGTGTAGTGTCCCTGTCACTATACTGGGGCATTAGGACCCATATAGACTGCAGGGTGAGCACCCCCCTGCTGGCCCCACTAACACCTCTTCCAGCAACCTTAGTTTTTCCCAGGAGGTCTCCCATCCAGGTGTTTACCAGGTTCACACCTGCTCAGCTTCAGTGGGTTGCCAGATGTGAGTTGCAGGGTGAATTTAAATAAAGGGAATTTTCAACACAATCTTTGATTTTTATGTCAGCCTTGAGAAAAAAAGGTATTAAACCATTTTTGAAAATTAATCACTCAACATAATATACATACTGGGTCTTAATCTGACTTTATTCAATTTTAATCTCAAATTCATTCATTAATTGAGAGATTTTATTGATTGAGAGATCTAAAGTTTTTCTAACAGGAAAGAGCTTAATCGGATTTAATTTCTCATTTCTATGCTGATGATACTCAAACCTACGTGCATACTGAACCTGACACTAAAGTGGCTGTCTTTTCACTCTGATTGCATCTGTGAAATAAAAACCTGGATTACTCAATTTCCTTAATTTAAATTGATAAGACTGAAACCATCAACTTTTTAAATCTAATGCAACCTGTGTTTGTGGTTGGCAGTGTACTTGAATTTCAATCTAAATTGAAGAATATGGAAGTGATATTTGATTCAGATTTGACATTTGTTACTCATATACAATATATTGTAAAAACATCACTCTTCCATCTAAGAAATATTGCCAGACTGTTCTATGTTGTTTCTGACATGCTGGTCAACACATTTGTATTTTCTAGAGTTGATTATTGCAACATCCTTTTTGCTGGGGTATCTACATCCATACTGAACAAACTTCATTATGTCCAGAATTCAGAGCCAGTATCCTGTCCAAGTCGCATGCACGTGATCACATTACTCTTGTCCTGGAGCCTTTTCTCTGGCTTCCTTTCAGGATTCGCTTCGACTTCAAAATCCTCATGTTTACCTCTATGGCTCTACATGGCTTGGCACCTCAGTGCCTGTCTAATATATCGTCCTACTCCCCACCTTGCAACCATTCTTCATCTGACTATGGTCTCCTCTTTGAGTCTTAAACTTGTCTACATATTAAGGGTTACAGGGTCTTGTCTTGCTATCTCTTGCAGACTGAAAACTTTCTTCAAAAAGGGTTTTACTTAATTGGTCTGTGTATGCCCTATTGCATTTTCTACCACACTCAAAACCCTTGTATTTATTGTGCTATCTTCAATCATTATTTTTCCTTACTGTAAAGAGTTTAAAGAAGCTATTTTGAAAGGTGCCATATAAAATATTTTTGTTATATCCTGCTCAAAGGTTCCCTTTTGTTTTAGGTAAAATCCTGAATGATGATACAGCCCTCAAGGAATACAAGATTGATGAAAAGAACTTTGTGGTGGTCATGGTGACAAAGGTGAGCAGGATAAATTTGGAGATGGATTGACAGATTGTGTTCCAGGTTTATTTCTGCCTAATAAAGCTGTAAAGTGCTTTTCACTTTTGAAGGATTGCGTCTTTCAGGACGATTTGGTTCTCTTGGACTTGTACCTGTTTGACTTAAATAACGTTTTCATGGGTTTACAGTTACCAACAAGAATAACTAGAAGAATACTGTGTGTTTATCTTCAGTTTGAAAAAATATGTATTAGTGTTAGAATCTTTATTGCATGAACTCATTTATAAGTAGTAGGGATCTTCTGAATGGGTATTGCTCATCATTACCAGACCCCCCTTTTCTCAGCAACAGTCTCCAGCTTCTCCTGAGGGATTCACAAGCAATCCTAGGCCAGTTAGAGATCAATCCAGTGTGTTCAGAGCCTGCTCCAGGGTCTCTTCTCAGTGGTAAGGTGCCCAGCAGGCATCCTCACTAGATGCCTGAAGCACCTTGATGGCCTTAGCTCTATCCAAAGGCCCAAGGTCCTCCCGGACCTCCTGACCCTGTCAGAGAGAGTAAGGCTAGCAGCCCTATGGAGAAACCTCATTTCCAACACTTACACCCATATATTTTGTTTCGGTCATTACCCAAAACTCATGAGCATAGGTGAGGATAGGGACATCAATTGACAGGAAGACCGAGAGCTTTGTCCAAAATCTCCTGCTTCACCACCACTGTTCTGTACAATGTCTGCATTACTACAGTCATTGCACCAAGCAGCTGGTTAATCTCATCCTCTCCTCTATCCTTGTAAACAAAAGACCCTGAGGTACTTAAACTCCACTGTTTCTCCTCCTCTATTCCTCTGTTCCCCCTCACCTGGACAGAGCAATCCACTCTTTTCTGGGAGAGATCTAATTTAAGACATTTTACTCTAAAATCAGTGATACAAATGCTGCATTCATGTGAGATCCTACATATGAAATACATATATGATAAACTGTTAAAATTAATATATGATTTTATATTATGTAATAAATATATCATTATATAAATTAATAAAACTGTTGTAGTTGGTTTATGAATTATAGATTAAAATAAGTTTGATCTTGATGTTATTTGAAGTGCTTCCTCCACCAAGCAGACTCAGTCAATTCTTAGCTGGTTTAAGTCTAGGTATTTTCTTTTGAAATGGAGGTGCGCAACATCATTTACTTATAAAATGGGTTAGATTGTCTTATGTAGGGAAGTGCTTTTTCAGTCATGATTACCACTTATGTGACTGCCTACTGTGTGGTTGTAGGTTAGCCACTCTGCTTGAATTGCTATAAGTTTTTGTGCTGATGGTACTACAACTCAGGTCTTTCATCTTTGTTGAAAATGTTGTGCAGTCATCAGATGTGTTTCCACCACCGAGAAGATTCAGTCAATTCTTATCTGGTTTAATTCTCTGTATTTTTTCTTTTGAGCTGGAGGTGTGTGACACCATTTGCTTATGAAATCACACATGTAAAATGGATTGTCTTAAGTTGCAGGTCTTGAACTTCATTTTGAAAATAAGTGGGAATTCCCCCTTTAAATAAAGCTCATGGGGGATTTAAGCATCTTGGGGGGGGGATATTAATATACTAAACTCGTGTGTTGAAATAATATGCAACCTGAGCTGCATATGTTCATTGTAAATGCAGTCCTACCTTGTTGTCAATCTGTCTTTCATTGCCATCCTCCTCTCCATTGAAGGTTAAATAACTAAAACTTTTGTCCTTCTCAGTGTTTCTCTTCTTCGTGCTTTCTCTTCTCTATCTGTCTCAGGTGCTCTCTCGCTCTAAACTATAAACATTATTGTTCTTCTCCTTATTCTCTCTCCCCACTGTCTTCCTTAGTTTTTCCCTATTCTCTCTCTCTTCCTCCTCATTTCCATTTCATAACTGCAGTGTTGAAATTAAACTATCCTCAAGAAGGCCTAAGCTCTGAAATGAGCATTGATTTTGTGATGTTTGTGTTTTTCAGTGAATTTCTGAATTTTGTTTAAATTCTGTTTTGAGCACTGAATCCACATTCACATAACACACTTGCAACTAGTATCACCATGGCTATTTGAAGTAGCTTCTCCATTTCAGTGTATACACCACTACGCTTATTCAGCACGGTCTCTTCAAACTGTTGAAAGGAAAATGAAGCATATGAATCAGTGGACAGCAGTGTGAACTCTGGCCTAGCTTCCTCTGTACTTGCAATAGATGAGAAGTGTTTCAGCAGGTTTTCGAGTTTCTTTTGACCTTAAAGGCTGAAATCTCTAATTAGACTGTTTGGCAGCTAACCCTTTCTTTGGTTCCAAAACAGCAAACCAGGACAGAAGATCCATAGTATGAGCATCACGTATGCTGAGTATGCAAGTATCTGTCCAAATGAATCAACTTTTTTAGGGAGGATAAGCGTATTGGAAGTTTGTTAAATTTTTTGATGGCTCATTTTAAGTTCGTCTTGCAGCCTAAGGCAGCTCCATCTGCTGCCCAGCCTTCCTCTACTACCAACACAATAAGTACTATATCTCCCAGTGCTACAGCTACAATATCAGCCCCTCCACCTCCTGCATCAGCAGCTGCTGCACCAACCAGTGCAGAAAAGGGGGGCAAACCCTTTGAACAACTGGAGGATAAACCACTAGCAGCCACAGACAACCCTACAACATCTACCATCAGGTACTAATTATAATCATTAGCTTTCTGCAGGTTATTTATTTTGTATGATTAATGCTACAATGAATTAGTTTAAAAAAGGAAGCACATTTTGAAGGAGTATTGCAAGTTTCGGTTTCAGGAATGTGCTCTTCCTTTAAGGTTCAATGGCATTGTGTGTTTTTCACTTTAAACTAATTCACTTCTAACCAGGTATTGAGAATCAGGCATGTACTATCCATCACGTCACTCTTCAGTATTAACTGTACAAAACATTTAATAAAATAAATTCGTAGAGATTTGAAAATTGCTTGGCCTTTTGTTTTACTTGCAAGAATCCAAATTCTAATCATAAATTGACTTTTATTTTAGTTTCTTGATTGTCTGTGTTTTAAAAAGAGAATAACAGCACAATTTTATCAATTTTGAAACTTTCCTTGGTAATGGTGTTTTCGAATGGGTTTGTATGAAAACATCATTTTTCTTGTTTTTCTGTAGCTCTACAAATCCAGCTGGAAATGTTAACATTTTTGAGGAGGCCACTTCTGCTCTTGGTAAGCATTTTCTATGATGCTGTGTCAAGCAAATGACAGCAATTTGGGTGTCCATGTAGTAGAAGTCTTCTTTATTACATATGCATATGGGAGCCTAGCTCTTTCAGGACAGACTCAAAGAAGTATTACAGAGTGGTCTTTTTATACAGTAAGGTCTGTAAAAGGGATTTGACATTGACATATGGCAGTTATGCCTGTCAACATAACATATGTTGACAATTCAACATAAATAGACAAAAGCAGAACTGCATACTTTCACAACAGTTGGAGTAGAAAGTTACAAGTTACAAGATACAAGTGTTTAAAATATAAAAGACTAATCAGACAAGGAATTAAGAATAATTTCCTAAGTGTGAAACTAAGAATACTAAAAGATTTTAGACATTAATATATTTATTAAGTCCTGAAAGTAGTAGTGGATGTTTGAACTTCCAACATGCATTTGCTTCTTAGAACTTTGAATGTGTAATTATTAATGTATTGGTACTTTTTTTTAAGTACCAGTAGTTGACAGCTGCTTTTTGTGCCCACTCTCTATTGTACAGAAGACTTTGCAATAACTGTATTACACAATGATATAAGAAAGGTTACAAATGTGAGGATGCCATCTAATCTGTTGGATTATCTGTTGACTAAGTCTAAATTCCATAGCCGTGTGGCTATACCAAAAAAAGGCTTTATTCCCCTGGAGTCTAGTCATAGGTACGAGGAGGTTTCAGATTTCCATGTAGTTTGCACGGTAAATTTACAGGGCCAAACAAGTAACGGCAAAGCAATTGCTGAAAGACTTCGTCATGGAATTAGTTGATGAATTTGCAATTAAAATTTAACATTGATACGTTCAAAGTAATCCGCACATAGTAATAGTGTGTGCCCACCGTATATTGTGTGTGTCATTCAGAGCTGCAGGAAGCTACACAGAAGGGATCTGGTCACTTTTGTAGATACTTCCATGTCCATATCAATACAATATGGGTAAGGAAAGTGAATGAGATGCTTGGGTATAAAGCAAAAATTGTCATTTAAATCCAGGTAAGTGATGATTAACATTTACAGTGCACTAGTGAGTAATTCATCCCAGACTCCTGTACCACCATACCCATTAGTAGTTGTTAATCCCCTCTCTGTCTTGTATATGTTACCTTGAGAGTTTCAGTGAAGACATGGCTGCTTTTTTGACTGTACTTTTGTTTTGATTAATTCAAAGGCCTTGAAAAGCAGTATGGCATGAAACCCCAATGCATCTGAAAGTAGTAGTGTAGAGAAGGAAAGTCGTATGGTTATGACAGTAGCAAAAAAAAAGTAAAGATTATGAATAAGCTAAGGGGTGGTATGTGTGTCCTAAGATTTCACCATTCAGATGTTAACAAATATTTACTATGTGTCAGAATTGTTTAATTTTATGGGTAGTATATGTTTTCATTTTGTGTACTTTTATTATTGGAAGGGCCATTCATTTGTGCATAAAACTACAGATGCAGCCATTCTAAACGAGCGAGGTACACTGTGTGTCGCATCATAACGCATCATATCACGTCATACCACATTTTACTACATGCAAATTAAATTAATAGTATCCAGAATCACCTTGTACAACCACCAGCTGGAGCTAATAAAGCTTAACCTCTCATGTACAGCATTTGAACTGTCACCAGAAAACACCCGGTTTCAAATCCCGATCACCGCTGAGGAACGATCTTTATCCAATTAAGAATTTAAGTTGTATACTCTTTAGACTTTTAATTTTAGACTGTGTATTACAGCATGTTAATCATTAAACATTAAAAAGTTGGTATATTTTATAAAAGCAAGATTGCTCAGTTGGACAAAAAGTACACAACCTACCACCTTTATCATAAATATTTTAATTATGCAGAAATATTTTATGCATCAAAGTCTTTACTGAAGATATTACTAATAGTTTTAATAATGACCTTGGACAAGCTGTAAACCCTGGTCCAATTTCTTTGTAATCGTCTTTGTAAACAAAAAGACTATTTTTTCATTGACAAAAAGTAACACCACAGAATTTCGTTGATCCGATCACGTATTTGTTTCCAATCATACCAAGTAAGTTTTGTATCACCATGCCTTTCACATGCTCATAAACGATATTAATTTAGGAACATAAACATCTCATGTAAACTGTATATGGTTGGTATTGGTATTTTAAAGAAAAAATACACACCAGTATTCCACTTTCTCCCTAAACATTTTAAGCATCAAAGTCTCACATGTGGTTATTTTGGAAACGTTTTTATGTGCTCCTTCTGACCATATTAAGTTTATATACTTTGTGAAAAGTGATTGTGTTTTAACCTTTTCTGTGAATTCACTTGTTATTGGCGTAAACAAAAGCATACTTTTAGAATTTGCTTAACAGGGAATATAATAACGGTATAATTATATTCATGTACTGTAACACAACCAGTAGTATAAGAATTTCTATTGATATGTACGGATGTTTCACTGCTTTCCACATGACTCCGGCTGTGGCATGATGGCTTAAGCGTCTGCCTTATATGTCTTGAGGTCTGGCATTCAAACCCAGCTATCGGCATGAGTTTTCTTTTAACAAACATTTCAATGAAAAACTAGAATAGCAAATATTATGGATGCTATATTGACATTTTTTATATCACAACATGTTTGAAGCTAAGTCATTTATTAATAACAAGGAATAATTCCAAACTGCTACTGATTTTATTACTGATAATAAATATAATTGACTGTATATTGAATATAAATATATTGAATTTGTTGGTATTTCTAAATATCACAAAACGCATTTTAAAGACCTTGACTTGTGAAATGTTTCACAGCCTCTACATAAGACAGTGAAATAATTCTCTTTTTGTAAACCTCAGGTTTTTCATCGATGCATAATTATGCACTAACTTAAACACTGATGGACCACTGTGTACACACGTTCACAACACAAGATATACTGCTCAATACGGCTTAGAACCATAGGAAGCAGAACAGTGCAGTCTGTTTGACTTCTGAAACCCTTTCTTTATTTCCTGTTTTCATTCAGCAGGAAAATTCATATTCATATTCTTAACTCAACAGCTTTTTAAAAACAGCACCTAATGATGTTCAAATCCATGATTTTCTTACACAGAAGACTGACAAAGCTATATTCGGCTAGTGTGAATTGTCAGTTAAGGGTTCTGTAGCATTCCAGTTGTGTTTGTACTTGCAAGAATAGTGATTACAAACATTAAAAAACATACTTGCTTTCTACTGTCCAACTGAGCAATCTTGCTTTTATAAAATATACTGACTTTTTCATGTGTAAGATGCTGTAATACAGTTTAAAATGATTAAAATTCTAAACAGTATCAACTTGAATTCTTATCTCTATTAATGTAACTTATCAAGTTGTATTAAATAAATACAACTTTTTAGTATGGATTACAATTTTCTAAAATGTATTTAAAATATAAAAACGATTACAATCTAATCTTTCCACGTTTGATCCCAAGAGGAAGTACAATACACTCCTGCTTTGAAAGGATAATCCTTTCTCAGATAGTTGGGCATTCAGGTAGATTACCAGGTGAAAGGATTTGTAAATATATTTTGTTAAAGCAATTCAGTTTCTTACAATCCATAAAGAAATTTTTCCAAGAAAGATCTTATGACGAAGAAAAATCGCCCGTTTTTAGCGCATAAAAAGTGGTTATTAACTATCGAAACCTGCTTTTATAGCTTTTAAAGTCATGCAATGTCTAAGTTAAGCAGGAACACATCATCTAATTTTTTATTTCTTTTTTAAAAATTAAAAAAATTGTTTGCCCAGCCTAAGTGGGGGAGGGGGGGACGACACTCCTCCATACACTTAAGTGAAAAATTAACGCCAGTGTAAACATCATATTTACAATTTGTTGATAATAAAAATGTTAAGTTCTCTAAAGCTTTCTCAGTCAAGTATCATAATTCACCTAGGGAGCTGTGTAAGCATGCGTAGGCAGCAAAAGATCAGCTAAAGGGGAAAACGCTTTCAGAGAAAATGTTTCAGGTGTGAAGCATACAGATCCCCAATTCAATTTCAGGCTAAATCTGTCCCCACGCACCCTGTCCCCACTGCAATTAGAATATACACAAAGCACTGAAATCTTTAGAGTAAATGATCAGGTGTTTTGCAGATGTAGGCATAGTACGTAATTCAGGCTTTATGAACTCTCGCCTGGGCAAATTAGGGTTATTATTAGGGTTCATAAAGCCTGAATAACGTACTATGCCTACGTCTGCGAAATACCTTTGCTAGTTAATGCTACTTCACTTTCTCTGGCGTGATTTTTTTAAGCAAAAACTAGGCTAATGGGTTCTTTCTACGATTGTTATGCGCAGTGACAAAATGTTTCCATATGAAAGCCTTTGTTATTAATTAAACCACTAAAGATATATAGGAATCCCTACATTACAAACTCCAAGCGTTTCATTTTGTCTGTTGCTACAATATCGGCAGCAGTGTAGTTTATTTAAGCATAGCTTTCTCACCATTTAGATTTATTTTTCATAGCAGCGTTAAACACCGGGGTAAAGTTAGCTTGAAGTTAGAAAACGATTTTGGCACGCCTGTAGTGTTTTCACGAAACCTCCTGTGAGAACATTTGCTTTGTGTATAAAGTACACAAGACTAAATCAACGCACTGAATTTGAAGTGTTCACATTACAGACATACATTCTGACACTTCAGCGTTGTGGTCTTGAAGACCATATGGCACAAGGTTGTAGGTGGAGAGGTCCAAATGGACATTGTACAGTTGCTCCCCCTGAGAGGAGTGTGCTGATTGCTGTATGTAGCGGTTATTAATGGCAAGATGATTGTGCAGTTCTGCATTGATAATATGTCTTGGAACTTTTTGCATGCAGCCATTCCCACTAACTCAACCTGACACTACAGTATTCTAGGAGGAGTGGAAAATGTCCTCATGCTGCTCATGTAACTATCTTTCTTGCATTGACAGGTATACTATGCAAGACATATGCTCCAGCCCTGAGCCCCATTGAACATTTGCTGAGGAGCTGGAACATGTGGCATCTTGGGCTTTTGTGGAGTGTAGAAAGAGCTTGTTCCCTCATAATTCACTTCCTTTATTTACAGTGACAGGACAGTCCTATGAAAACATGGTAACCGAGATCATGTCAATGGGGTATGAAAGAGAGCAGGTTGTTGCTGCACTAAGAGCCAGCTTTAATAACCCTGACAGAGCTGTTGAATACCTTCTTACGGTAAGTTTAGTGCCCCTGCTCTATGAGCAATAACTATTTATAATTTATTAATTTTATTAAACTTGCATTGTTTATGCTATGCTTCCCTTTTCTTTTTATGTAAATAATCTGAAACAGTTTATTTAATCATTGCACCTGTATGCCTACAGCTCTTCAGTTTAATCAACTAGTAGCTATTAAACACCTGAGATAAAAGTCTGAAGGTATCAACCCATGTGGTTATCCTAAAAAAATATATTTTTTTTATCAGAGTAACTTTGAAATAACACATTTTTAAATATTCATCACCATTAGTTTTGTGGCATTCTTTGTATTTGTATTTAAATGTTTAAAGCTTTGACAAAATTATTTTACTTAAATATAGTGCCATCTGTGGTGTAACGAATACACAGCCCCATCCTACCCCATTGCAATGTCTACTTTTTTCCATGAATGTCATGTAGAATGTCATGTAGAAAACTGTGCCAGACAATATTTCCTGCCATTCTTTAATCTAGATAACAAGGCTATACAAGGCCAAATTTCTGCAAAGTATTGAAATCTCTGAATCCCTTACAAAAATCTTTTTTAAAACTCTGCAGTTTTTAAATGTTGGATTTCTAATTTCTGAAAGAATGTGTATTTATGTGATACTGGTACCGCATAATAAGATATTTACATAAAGCAGTACGGTTGTTCTCCCTGATTGCAGTGTGCTCATTGCTATGTTGCCTTTCCCCTAGGGTATTCCAGCAGAGAGAGAGAGCCATACGGTGGCTGACCCAGTCATGCCTCAGGTTGGTACTCCTTCTTCCATCACAGGTTCCTTGTCCTCTCCTTCCACCACAGGGTCTGTGCAGCCAACTCCAACCACAGAGGGTGAGTTGTCTCTGTACTGGAGCACCTGTTATATTGCTCTCTTTGCTGTCTGCCATCTCTTATGCATATTAGATCATGTCATTATGGTTAAAAATGCATTAACAAAAAGTTAATAGATTTTTTTACTGAGGTTTCTGTTGTCACTGAGTTCATAAGAATTACTTAAAAATTCTTTAAAAATGTGTGACTGGCTGATCAAATAACACACCATTGTCTTTCATCAAAATGGTAGATCGTAAGCAGTCACTTGTTCTTTTGACTAAAAACTAAATTAAAACATAAACATTCTGATTCATCTTCTGATAGTCAGTTCAGCTTTTCTTTTTGGGCTCTTGTAGTAGCACAAAATGATAGCCAGACTGAAAATTGCTACTTGTTGTTGTTAGAATACAAATAATACAATATATAAATAAAATTGTAACAGGCTATTTTTCTTTCCATGCCTTTTCTTGATTACTTTATATTCTACGCTTTTAAAATTCTACTTCTGTCATTTTCCTGCATTTATAGTTGGAACTACATATTACATGGAAGCAGAATTTCAGCAGTGAAGGGATTTTTTTCTATATGCATTACTTTGACTCTAAAATGATGTATTCTATATTTTGTTGTGTAAAACTATTTTTTTCCTTAATTTAGATAGTTAAAGGGGGGTGCTTCAGCCAAAGCGGCTTTTTCTCAAGGCAATGTTTTTGAAAGTATGAAAAGTGCTTTGGGGATCATTTTATTTAGAGTGTACTCTTGTTTCTCTCCTATTTTTCATTTTCAAATTCCATTAAGAATCTTTAGACATGGTGTGGATTAGCAGATATGTTAATTGAGTTCCTAAATTTAAGGTCTGGTATTTTGTCTATTAAAATAAAGCTGAATTCCATGTTTTAGCTGGGGGACCCAAAGTTTGAGCTTTGTAGCATCCGAGTAATTGAAGTGATATTTAACTTATTAATACAGTATTAGACACTGCAGCAGAATCCAGAGTGCCCTAATGAATGAAGGCCTACCTAAGAGCTATCTCGTTGTCTTCCTAGCCAATCCATTGGAGTTTTTGCAGAACCAACCTCAGTTTCAGCAGATGAGACAAATTATTCAACAGAACCCATCTTTGCTTCCAGCCTTACTGCAGCAGATAGGAAGAGAAAACCCTCAACTACTACAGGTACTGCAGAATGGAGTGAGAGTTCATTCCTTTTTTAGATTTTAAACAAGTTTCAACTATTATACAATGGAACAAGTAATAGGTTTATTCCATGCTGAAAAAAAAGAAGAAAGAAAACGCAACGTTTCGGCCGTGGAGTCTTCTTCGGGTGTGAGAAAGACAAGGCAGTAAGCAAAGATAATGTAGCAGGAGAACAAAGACTGGGCGAGAGGAGGAGTGAGAGGTGGGAGCAGGGGACAGAAAGAGGCCAATCAAGAGGTGTGAAGTCAGAATAGGTGTAGAGGTGTGAAATGAAACTTCCAATGAATGGAGAAAATTTAGAAGAAAAGTAGTCTGTCGTTAAGAGAAGGGGGAAGGTGTGATCCTAGCTGCAGGATAATTTTGGTTTCTGTAGTCTTTCTGATGTATGAAAGCCATCTTTGAGAACACAGACGGAGAGATTAGAGTGGTCATGGCCATCAAAGGTGAAATGAGAAACAATGGGTTTGGAGAGATCTTTAATCTTCACAGTCCTGACTTGTTTTCTGAAGTGGTCTCCGAGTCTCCTTCCTGTTTCTCCAATGTAGATGGCTGGGCATTTACTACAAGAGATACAGTAAATAAGGTTGCTGGAGGTACAAGATGCCATCTGGGTGATCCGGAATTGTCCTGAGGGGCCTTGAATGAATGTGGTGTTAGATGCAGATGTTACAGCGAGCTCTATTGCGAGGGAAAGTGTCTGGTTTGGATGGTTGCTGAGGGCGGTCAAGGGAGCTGTGAACAAGAAGGTTGCGCAGATTAGGTGATCGGCGATATGAGATGATGGGGCGGTCAGAAAAGAAGGCCCCAATGGAGGGATCATCCTGTAGGATGGAAAAGTTGTCGTTAATAGTCCTGAGGATAGGAAGTGTGTTGGGGTTGTAGGGAAGCACCAAAGGAATGCGGTTGTTACTACGGGAGTTCCTGATTGAGTTGATGAGTTGAGTTGTACGCATGCTGACGCAGCTACCCACCTAAACTGTTATACAATGATTGATGCTACTATCAAATCCTGATCCATGTTGGTATCATTTAAAATGGTTATCAGATTTTACTCCAAAATGATTCAGACCCTGAAAAATAGGTATTTTTATTTTAACAGAAATTAACAAAATTTGCATTATAGAAAATTATCAGCATTGATTTAGCCATCAAAGATGTTCGCATTGTAAAATCTGTAAATAGTTGTTTACTTTTGGAGCTTTTTTGTTTACGTTTTGTAAACAGTAATCCTTTGTCAGGTAATTCTTAAATAAGATGAGAAGCTGTTCTAGTAAAGTAGCTAATTTGCATAAGTTATTTGCCAAAATTGATATCCCTAGCATCTTAAAAGTTCAGGTGGGTAGCTGCGTCAGCATGCGTAGGCTGCAAAGGAACAAGTAATAGGTTTATTCCATGCTGAAAAAAAGAAGAAAGAGAACACAACGTTTCGGCCGTGGAGCCTTCTTCAGGTGTGAGAGAGACAGAGCAGTAGGCAAAGGTAAAGTAGTGAGAGAACAAAGGTTGGGAGGGAGGAGGAGTGAGAGGCGGGAGCAGGGGACAGAAAGAGGCCAATCAAGAGGTGTGAAGTCAGAATGGGTGCAGAGAGGTGTGAAATTAAACTTCCAATGAATGGAGAAAATTTAAAAGAACAGTAGTCTGTCGTTAAGGGAAGGGAGAATGTGTGATCCTAGCTGCAGAATAATTTTAGTTTCGGTGGTCTTTCTGATGTATGAGTTCGGAAAAACCATCTTAAACATCTTAAAAGTTGTTCACTGCTTTCGTCTCTCCCAGCTAATCTTTCATAATGTTATGCAACTATTTTCAACAAGAAAACTTTCCTTTACTTAATGTTTTGAACCAATGTTAAATTGATGACTAGAGACAAGCAATGCAAGTTCAATGTAAGTTCAGAACTTTGGCTTTATTAGAGTAAACTCACCTGTAATAATGCTAAAATGATTTTCTTTTCAATGCTGTAGCAAATCAGCAGCCACCAAGAGCAGTTTATCCAAATGCTGAATGAGCCTGCGCAGGAGGTTGCAGGTCAGGGGGTGGTGGCTGAAGCTGGAGGAGGACCCATGAATTACATTCAAGTAACGCCTCAGGAAAAAGAAGCCATTGAAAGGGTAAGTTCTTAATCCATTACTTAAATGTTATTTTAAACTCCCCTCTGTGTTGGTTTGGATGTAGGTTTAAATTACTGTACATCCAGATAACAAGGTAACTTTCTCCTCATTCAAATAAGTTACAATACCATCAGGCAGACAGTTTTAAATTCTTCTAGCAAAATTTGCTGTTTTAGTTTGTCAGAATCACATACTTTGCAAGCAGTGCACGCGTTTTCAAAATGAACCCCTTTGTCTCATGAGAACTCAACAAAGGTTTACAGAATTTTGACAGTATGCCCAAAGACTAATTTGTAGTATAAACAAAATACCCACTGGGCACACTGATTTCACATGCAGATGTGAAATAAAGTAGCATTAATTACTTCTGTTTTAAAATATTTTGGATTTGTTTTAATATTTGTATCTGTTGTAATTTTTAATACAATGGAGAATATTATATATAAGGATATAATATCTACTGTTTATCATATTAATATTGCAATATGTGATATTAATATGATTTTGGTTGGGCATACAATATTACTAACAGTTTCAGTCTAAGCGTTTTCACATTGAAATGCATGTGCTGTGTTGTCAAATGGTTTTATAATAAATAATCCTGCTTTATTACTTCATTTTTCGATAGCATTTCCTGGTGCCCAGTTTACATTTTGCCTCGGCCCTAAAAACCCACAGCATAAGAGTTCCTGACATCTCAAGATAAAAAAGCTGGTGACTGAAATAGATTCAATAGCTGCTGTTGCCCCCTTTGGCAGATATCACTTCTTGTAGGCGTTTCTTGTAATTGTCCATCAGTCTCCTACATCGACTTGGAGAGATTTTTGCCCACTCCTCCTTACGGAACTCCTTCAACTGTGTGATGTTTGAGGGCTTTCTTGCGTGTACTGCCCGCTTCAAGACCCCCCACAGCATTTTTGTGGGGTTAAGATCTGGGCTTTGACTTCACCATTCCATAACTCGGGCCCAATGGAGTAGGATTCCTCTGCCAATCGCGGGATATGAACCGGCAACCTTCCAGCCACAGGCACAGATCCTTCGTCACAGAGCCACTGCACCATCCCCCTTTTCCGCATCTTGGAAATTTACAAGTCATTATTCAAATGTACGTTAAATCTGACTATCAGAAAATAAGTAAAATCCAAAATGAGGGTAAAATATAATTTAAAATGTTTTGCTAACAATCAATAATTATTAATATTCTTACAGCTGAAACGTTTCTTTTTTATTTTCATCATTGAATAAACCGTTAGTTGTTCCTTTGCAGAATATACTATACTGCAAAAAGGCGCCGTCCTTCGGATGACATGTAAAACCGAGGTCCTGATTCTCTGTGTTCATTAAAAATTTCAGGGCTTTTCTCGAAAAGACTAGGTGTCTTTCTTGGCCAGATTTCCCATTGCCTTTATCAGTTATGGCCTCCTAATAATCCCAGTCTATAAATTGGCTTCATTGCTCTTGTTTTCCTCCCCACTGATAGCTGATGTGTGGTGAGTGTTCTGGTGCATCATCCAGAATGATGCAACACATTGGTGGTGGAGGGGAGTTCCCATTACCTGTAAAATGCTTTGAGTGTAGTGTCGAGAAAAGTGCTATATAAGTGTTAGGAATTATTAATATAATTTCTAATTGTGGTGTAGTGTTCAGCATTGCTATCGCTGGGGCCCTAGGTTCAATTCCTGGGGTATAATACATGTGGAGTTTGCACATTTTAGCTGGGTGCATGTGGGTTTTCTCCAGCTGATCTGATTTCCCCTGGCAGTCCAAAACATACTGGTAGGTTAATTACAAGACATACACTGGTAGGTTAATTACAATTACAGTAGGTTAATGGGAAAACTGGCCCTGGTGTGAGTGTGTGTGTGTTTGTCTGTCCTGTGATGGACTGGCGTTATGTCCAGGGTGTATTCTGTCTTGCGTCCGTTGCTTGCTCAGATAGGCTCCAGCTCCCCTGTATTGGATAAAGAGATTGAAGATTTAAAAAGGTACTCTATACACATTGATAGAAATCCACTATGAGATGGCAGCATCTCACTGAGAATAAATTATTTTATAGTGCTGGCTTAAGGAAACAGAAGATGCAAAGGAACAAGTAAAGGTTTATTCCATGATAAAAAGAGAAGAAAAGAAACAACATTTTGGCTGAGGAGCTTTTTAAGGTGTAGCTCCATGTAACAGCATCAGCTATGTTTGCCCATTCCTTCAATTTATGTGCCTCACAGTTCAACACTAGCAACTTCACAAAATCTAAAATAAAATCTTATTTCAGTATCTATGTAAACATTCAACTGCATATATTCAATGAGTTCATTAACTTCATCTTCCTCTGCAGCCTATAACATCTCCTGTGTAAAAGGTATAAAAACAGTTATAAGCAATATACCTATTGTACTGCTTTGAGATGCTGCTTTTAAAGTTGCTATATAAAATAAAGTTTATTATTATTATAGAGAAACATGATCATATTTTCCATGGTTCAGAAAAAAAAGATCAAAACTATACTTGTTTGTCACAAATGGCTTTGCATACTGATCAGATCAAACAACTGCGACAAAATATACACTGTGATCTTTTGTAACAGCTGTGATTTTTTTTTGGTATATCTAAGCCTTTGCAAGTGTTCCTGCATCCCTCTTCTTCACAATGTCTGGTCATGGCTTTTGCCTGTTTTCTTATTTCAGTGCAACACATGCTCCATTTAAAAAATGTTTTGCTCATGTGCATTTTTGTATTTTTATATTTACATCTTTAACACTTTAACATCCTACATTTTCATTTGCCTTAATTTTTTAGACTGAATTTTAGACTCAGACTAAAAAAGCTTGTATTCTATATCTTTTGTTACTTGTCCTACAGACCTCTTTAATTGTGAGGTTTCCAGCATTTTAACATTGCTCAATGCACAGTTTTTAAACTTTTATTACTGGTCACTAAAGTTATTGCACTTGACAAGGCTTAATTCACCCTTTCCTGAACATAAGAAGAGCTACAGCTATCTCTGGTGCGATCTTCTGCAGCTGAAATTTCACTGTTTAAATGAATAAGAAATGAGATTGCTTATAAATCTAACTTATTCCATGTAAACACTCTTTCTTTTTCGTTTTGGGGACCTTGACTGAAACTGATTTGAGATGTCTAAAAGCATTTGTTTTCTTTTAGTATTTCCACTTCAGAAAAAGTGTTTCCAACATTGCTCTGTTTATAGAGATTGTAACTTTATATTTGGGCTCAGATTTCAACTATAAATCTTACACTAATTACTTGAGGTAAATACTGATGTTTTGTTCACCCTTACTACAAAAATATATTTGTATTGGGATTCACTTTTTTCTGTACGTGTCTATTCCTACTCTCTCTCTCCTATGCTGCGATTCGGACACATAATGGTTAAAGATGGCAAGAAGTCAGGCACCCAGAGGGAAGGGAGGGGGGTCGTTTTCCCGCCTCCATAACTAAGCGACGTACACAGTCGTGTAACTGACAGTTTGAGGTAGCCTATCGTTTGTAAATTTCACTTTGTAGCTTATAGGTTAAGCTTTCGAAACTCAGCACCAAAGTCATGTGACTGAATAATTTTTGCCCTGTGTCGTTGGTTAAACGCAAGGATCACAAGCACCACTATGTTTACTGGGATGTGTAGTTTTTAATTCATTTTGAATTTTGAACTGTGCGTACTGTCTTCGTATTTGGCCAGGGCTTTAAAGAAAAAATTTTCGGTGCCATCGTCTCCGCTTTAAAGGTGTCCTCCTTATGGACGAATTTTCACCTCAGACGTTTTCCCAGCCAACTTACAGATTACTTAGTAGTTAGTGTAGCCCTTGCTGCAGAATTGCTTGGTGATGTTGTCATTAACAGTGGACAGAACAGTCACTATCAGCATCTCTGCTGAGAGGCTGCCAGCAGTGAGTCTTTCTCAAAGAGACCTTGTAATTTCTCAGATGATCTTCAAAGCTTTTTGCTTGTTTATGGATTTTGATAAACACAGAAAACTACACTATTGTAAACCTGTAAGTTCAAGTGTAGGGCAATTCTTAATATGTAAACCTTAATTTGAGTTTACTAACCTCTTCTACTTTCTTTCTCTTTCAGCTCAAAGCGTTAGGATTCCCTGAAGGACTTGTAATTCAAGCCTACTTTGCCTGTGAGAAGAATGAGAACTTGGCTGCAAATTTCCTTCTACAACAGAACTTTGATGATGATTAAAGGGGGGATAGAAACTGCATTTTTTTCAGTTTAATATTATATTGTACACAGGCTACTTTCCTAGATTTTGCAATATATTTTCATGGTAACACTGGATGAACAATTTATATTCAGGAAAATGATCTTTCTGACTTCATAACAGGCAGTGCAAGTCAACTTGCTTTGTTTGAAATAACTGGTGTGCGCAACCTTTTTATTTTTTAAAAAACTAGGACAAAAATTATTGTTTTCTTCATAAATGGGAAGCAAATCCAATTTTCAATGCTGATCATTGTATATGTTTTACAAATTACCATTTGGGGTGGGAGGGTTCTATGGTCATTCTTATGTCATTTTCCTGTTTACAATTTTTCTTTCTTTTGTTTGGTTAATTGGGATTCCCAATACTGCTTAATTCAGTTTGAAAGAGTAAAATTTTTAAACATTGTTTCTTTTTCATTTGCTTTTCTATCTGAAGAACATTTCAAGATTTTTTTCCCGAACTGGCATTAAACCAGCTGTTAAAGGATGTGCACAAAGTATATAAATATACCCTATAAGGTAAAATAAACACTTTTTAAAACATGTAAGTTAGAATGAATATTGAGACGACTTTAATGCAGGCACGAATAGTGTATTTTGAAGTGCTTGTTAATCTTCATGACCTAGAAAGATTTAATCTTTAGATATAGCTCCCACCTGGGTAATGTACAGCAGTCACACTATACAGCATTAGAGAAGTGAGAAACTGTTTCATCAGTTGAATGAAGGTTTTTTTTTTAAGGCTGTATGTAGCCCTTTTGGGCTTGGATGCTCCAGTCTTTCATAAAGTCTCATGGTCTTTTTAATGACAAATAGTCAGAACCTCCATTTAATGTCTCATCTGAAGAACAGCACCTACTGCAGCACAGTCTCTCCATTAACCATACTGGGGCACAAGTTTAGAAATGTTGGTCCATAGGGAAGACTGGTCCATTTAAGACTTCAGCCTGTTTTATCTTGGATGTCTCCTATCCCAGGACTAATTGCAATAGTACTCTTCACCACATTGGTTACCCCTCTTCCAGGGAATGCGTTTGTGGTAATTTAATGATGAATCTTTTACCTCGTATTGAAATATGTGCATAGTTCTAGTGATGTCAGTTACATTGTGATATTTCTGTAAGAGACAATTAGATATGTTTTCGATCTTTATGCATTAAAAACGGTACTTATAAAAATACAGTTGTATTTTTAAATATATAACAGTGACATCTGTGATGCCGTGTAGGGTGGCACAAGCTTAGGGGTGTTGATCTAGATGGATGCATGACATCACCATGCTCTCCACAAACCAAGCCAAATTTTCTGCTCTACTATTTGAGTTACTTTCTGGTTTTCATATACTCTCCTCTGAGTTTAGTGTTGTATATTGGCCTCATTCTGAGGTAATATGCAGATGTGAGGTGTTTGGTGGTGTTAATCTAGACGACTCTGGTTACTCCTTAACGATAGCTGGACTGAGGATATTTGAGCCCTTCACTTGTAGTTATCCACTTGATATTTGCTTTTGTGATCCCCCCTCTGGGATCGAGGTCAGAACACAACTACACTAGCCCTTTGCTTGCAGAATCCCAGGCTCAGGGTCCCAAGCACTAACACCTCTCGACACTGTTGTCCCCTTGGTTTTTCTCTTGTGGACTCAAGCTTTCAGGGTATGGACAACTGTTTCACACCTACATCCTTCACTTGTAATTGCAGTAGAAATCTGATTCCTTTTCCTATTGGCCAGTACTGCTCTACCACCTTCCTAATATTACCAGTGGCCAGAAATGGCAGTGACTGAGTCAGCTACAAGTTATGTAACTTCTGATGTTAAATTTTGAGTCCTCATCTCTTCAGTAAACTCTGCACTTTTTACTCCAGTTTACTTGGAGCCCTCAGTTCTGTGGTGTATTATTTTGGTGCATCCGGCTCTGTGGTGGATTCATCTATACCATTGTTTCTCAAACTGTACATGGAGTGCCCCCAGGTGGTATGCCAGATGACCCTAGAAATGTGTTGTGTGCACTGAAAATTTGTGAATTAAAAGTTTAATAATGAATAGTTAGGTAAATTTATCATCTGTAATTTATTCAATCGGTTTCAGAAAGCTTGAGATGGGTTTTCTTATTTTATATTTTAATAAAATTAGTTTATGTATCAAATACACAGCAGTATTTAGCTACATCGATACAGTGCACGCTAATAATTGAGTGTTCATACTCTCGAGCTTTCAGACACAGCTTAGCGCCACATTCGCCAACTGTGATCAAGTGATCGAAAATTCAAGATTGCAAAAATCAAGTATGTCATGGCTGAAAGAAATAGATGCCAAGAGTTCTGACACTAGCTCCAATAGATCATGCATACCTGTTGAGATCGAGGAGGATTATATATCGGCCACTAAAGGTTAAAAAAAGGGGGACACCCTGAGAAACATTCCTATTGCCTTATCTGTGAAAGGGGTCCGGATAAAGAGGGTTTTTAAAATATCCCACGTTTATGTTCATTGGTAAAGTAACGTTGATGTTAACTATGTGCAATGCTGCAGTAACAGTACCCTCTGTTTTGCTGCCAGATTTTATAAAAGAATCTGTAAATTTGGTTTAGGAACTCTCTCCTCGAATTGCCTTTTTGTGTCTGTCTGGGTCAACAAGAGCTTGCAAGTCAAGTACACCTTTATTAGCCACGGAGACAAAACTACCAGGCTTACATACCAAACATTCAGCTTCCCAGTCTTCCCTGCCACTTCGAATACACTGAAATTATTTTTTTAGTTCTGCTGTGAATTGACACTTTCACTTTGGCATTGTGTTTGGGGGTAGGAAAATGAGAAAATGGGGAACCTTTCGATGAAATGCTTCTGCACTGCACAAACTGAATAAAGACACTAATATTGATGCTCGATTTCACTCTTGTTACATAATCATACATGTACAGGACAGAACCTGAACGACAACGTAGGTGATGAAGCAAACTAGAGTTCAGAAATTCTATATCTTTAACTTTTATTATTCTTTAAGGTGAAAATAATGGGATGGAAATCCCTGACATTTCTGGATATTTCAAAATTCCCCCCAGACGGAGATATAAAGATCAAAACAGAAGACGTGGCCGGGAAAATCCGGATGTATGGTAAACCTATCAGCCACCGACACTAGCTCTTCTGCTGAACCTGACACAGACAGCACTGGTCGTGTTAGAAAACGTCGGAAAACAAGGCAGTACGATCCAAATTAACTTAGTACTCAGTGCTATTTTTATGTGTGTGTGCACATGCTCATGTTGGTCATTGAGTTTTACTGTGGTTCCTTTGAGAAGATGACTTGTAGGTGGTATTTGGATGCTTTGGTTTGATCAGGGGTGGTACTTGGTCAAAAAGGTTTGAGAACCACTGATCTATACTGACTTACCAGCCTGAGACTCATCTGTTGTTGTGTCAGGCTGTCCTTTATTTTTGTGTTGGCATGCAGCAGCTGGCGATTCCACTTTGTATTACACATAACAAAGACATTGGAACATAAGGCTCTGCAGTGTTTCTGCTGCCATAGTAGGCACCCACCAATTTGTTGGTGACTCACAACCCTGGACATTTAAGAACTGTATGCTCTGCTTTATTATTGCAACAATAAAGACTTAATGAACTGCACCATGTTCGGCAATGGCCATTGTAGTATATCATTTTAATCACAGTCAGGCATGCAGGGGCTTTGTATCAAAAGTAACCTTTAAGATGGAGAAGTGAAGCAAGAAGGTAGTAATACAACAGAATCCATAAAGGTTAAAGTAGAAAAACGATTTAACAACCTAATGTGAATATGGATGCACATAGCTTACTCTCTCATGACATCAGAAAGCTATTTAGTAAGTTATTTTTGTCAATTTCTGCTTTCCACACAGAAATTGGAGTTTGTGATGGAGAACACAGCTGAAATTTAGGTGGCTGAAGAGGTTAATGATTGCGTTTTCAGTTAGTTTTAAAAACACCAACTAGACGAGGTTCTTATTGTCTTTAAGTTATTGGTTTAATAGATTTCTTAGTGATTTTTTAAAAAAACTGTATAATTAAGGGAAGAGATGGCACAGAACCACTGGAATGAAGGAATGAGAGACTGAACAGATGCATATAGAGTCAATGTCAAATACAATGTTAAAGGTCCAAACAAACTTACTACTTAAATGGTGAAGTCGAATGCCAGGAAAATATAGCTTAAATGATTTAATGGAGATATAAAGAAAAAAATCAGAAGGAACAGAGGAGTGGACTGCCACGGACTGCATTGTGTGTCCATGATTCAGGGATATCCATCCATCCATTTTCTAAGTGCTTTATCTAATACAGGGTTGTGGAGTATTTGGAGCCTATCTTGGAAACCAGAACACACAGTGGAAACTACACAAACAAGGGAGAACGTACTTCATGTAGATGGCTTCCCAGGAACTAGATCCAGGGTCCCAGCACTGTGAGGAAACGATGCTAACCACTGTACCACCATGCTGCCCATTTCAGGGATATAAAAGGGTATATAGATATATAATGCACAAAATAATAAATAATGTAATGAACAAAAAAGGACAACTGAACCAGGAAACTACAGACCAGTTTTATGTTACTAGAAAAATTATGGAAATGATAGTTAAATTAGACGAATACAATTTTAAAAGACATGAACAAGTCTTTCCCTTTCTAAATCTAATTTGCTAGAATTATAAGATTAGCAACTTGGACATTAGGGTACAGTAAAGATGATATGATATATTTAGAAAAACAATCTGTGATATGGAAGTAATAATTTCAACATAGCCAACTAGTGAAATTTGCTGGTGTGACTATACATGTGACTATACATGTCACATGCGCTGGTCCTGTAAGAAGTTACATTGAAAGGGATGTTGGAATTTAGATTCTTTTATGTCCTTAAAATATGGAGGAAAATAATCAAACAATGCTTGGATATATAGGAAAAGGTTTGGTATTTACTGTACATTCAGGGAAATTATAATTAAGATCTTCAGTCCAACAGAGACTGTTTTCAGTTTTAGTTGGTATATCACAGAAAAGAACAACAAAACTCAGGGGACAGTCATATGGACAAGTTGAAGAAACTAGATCTCTTCAGTATAGAACAGAGAAGAAAAGGGAATTGCAGTCCCAATTTCCCAGATACGTTATTAAATCTTGTTAAAATCAATTTCATCAAATACATTCATTGATGGTATAGCAATTTTCAAATTAAGTACATTAATTTCTGAAACTACTGTAAATCACCATGTTATCACAAACCCCTGATCTCTCCAATGGTGAGAGCAAGAGTTCCCATGAATTGTAACATGATGGGGCCCTTCCTGCTCGCTAGTCTCTGTAATTAATGTAATGTGATGTACAAGCGAATTACAGGTTGTGCAGCAGATATTTCACTGCAGAAA